GTTTGACCAATGTCTGACCAAGTCAATTTTCCACTGTGACATCAATAAAGTCAATCAATCAATCATTCAATCAATCAATCCAATTCAACTGTCAGAAATGTGTGCAAAAAGCAGATAATAACATGTAAGAAAGTTATTTTAATTATCTTATAAGTGGAAATCCAAAAATCCAGCTATAAAGTCTTATTACACATATACAGTAGAGACAAGCATCATTCCCCTGATGAAATGAAATTCCTGTAATAAGGAAATGTCTTGTTTCTTTAGCTCCTTTGGGAGTCCTTGTCTTTTAACAATCCCTCTAAAGTCTGGTTTGAACAGTTTTTATGTCTTATGAAATATTTATGTTAAGATCATTGTTGTCACAGACTGGACTTAAGTTAATTCTACCTACTTTTATTTCCTCCTCTTTAGACTATTTTAATTATCTTTTTACTTAACTTAACAAAGCTAACCTAACTCCAGTTGTGGCCTGGTTTTAACATTGAGGGCAATCTATGGCCAGACGTCTCAATACACTCTGGTCCTTTTGGTTCCCGTTGCTCCCTTTAGGACTCTGAGGTCGTCATTTCAAATATTTCTATTGGTACCAAAACCCTGCAGAGATCATAGTTATCACAGGGTTGCTCCAATGCTGTGGAACGCTCCCCAAGTCTCCCTACACTCCACAGATTCATCTGACTCTTTTACAGTAAGAAAAAGCTAAATACATTATTATTCAGAAAGGTTTTGCATTAAAGAAGTGAATTAACTTATTCCCTTTGAAGCCAAGGTTTCAAAACGACCATAAAGGCTCCTTAAAATGTCTAAGAACTACATTAAGGTCACTACCCCAAGGTAGAAGAGTGAACAATGACACAAAAGAACCACTCCGGACAGTTGGTGCTCCCACTTTTCAGAGCCTTGATGTGCCTGCTCTAAGCAGCCATCTTATCAAAGCCAAACATCAGAGTCTATTGAATAAGACAGGCTCTAACATCAGCCTCAAGACTCTAACATCAGTTTTATGACACCATGATGGGACAGTCCCAGTGGGACTCATTGACAAACACCAAACCAGGACAGATGTCATCCACTACATCAGAATCTGGTTCATCATGTTATTCTTTGCAGTCTCAACAAATGTTTTTTGTTTTTTTATCATCATACATGGGGTGGGCCACACTGTCCACCACAGGCACTGTATCCAAGGGGACAAAGCACAGAGCTGTCCATTCCAATGACCTTATCCAATTGCTTCCTCTCCGTTGTTCCTTTTGGTGTGCCTATGCTGCAAACCAGTATGTCAGGTTGAGGCAGACGGTGGTCCACTCCTGACTGCTACTGCTTTCTTTCTGAAGTCCCAGTTGGAATGCACTGAAAGCAGTGAAGAAATAACAGAAGATATCCTGAAGGTTACTTTAGGGCTTCTTAGCTTTCTGTCTTGCAAATGTTGATACTCTTGTCTCCTACAGCCTTGGTCAAAGGATGACCAAATATGCAAATTGAGTGCTGACGTCATCTAGCTACTCCTAGGACTACATCATAGTAACTTTCCTTGCTGAATAGTTGGCAAAAGTGGTTCAGGGCAGAAAATCCTTCAGTCGTTTAAGATAAGGGGGCTGTAGCATTTGAGACTGGGTTGGGGCAGGGGCGATGGGCTGGTCAAACCTGAAGACATACTGATTGAAATTATTCACCCAACAGGTTCAACAGGGTCTGTTTGGATTTAGGCTTTCAAAAAAATACTGCTGCTGTCTACACTGGCCTTCATCTTCTTCCAGCAGCTGTTTATCTTTTCCAACTCTGATCTTTTTTCCCCAGTTATTTCTGCACATTTTTCAGGCATTTCTTGTTAACTAAATTGAAAGCCCTTTTCTTTACCTAAAGTAAACCTTTTTTTTCAAGGTTTATCCAAAGCTTGTTGAAGAAACTCAATACTTTCATATTTCCCTTCTGGTTTGCAATGTACAGGGGTTTTATACACAAGCTGTAGTTGAACCAGGTTATGATCTTAGCCCCCAAGGGAGGGAGGGGCAACCAACTGCATTGCTTATGGCATCTAACATTCAGTATGTCTAGTGATTTGTTGTCTCTTGTGTTGCAGCAGGTAACACAGTGAGTGAAGGTGGGGAGGGTGGAGCACAGAGAGGAAGGACTAAAGTCCCCCGAGTTTAGAAAAAAAGGCCTGGGGGTGTTGTATCTGTAGTTCACTGGCAACAATATGGATGATGTTACAGTTAGTAAAGAACATTACCAAATATTATGATTTACCTCACCAAGCTGAAGATATTTCCAATTTACACATAGCAAAGTAATAAATGTGTATCTCCTTTAAAAAAATAAAATACATCACAGGTTAGGTCATATAAAATTGCAAAGAGCATGTATCGATTTAAAAAAGAACAATATCCACAGAAATTAAAGCAACACTGCATAACTTTTAACCCAAGTATTACCTTATTTTGAGATTTATGATTTTTTTTTTCAGGCCAATATACTTGGCATATTTCGATGTTCAGTGCAGGCTTCTCTTCTCAAAAACTGGGCTATGTAAGCTGAGAGGATCGGATCCTTCACTGAATTAGTCATGTGACCCAGAGCAGCAGGCTGTGCGACTGAGTTTAAACACAAGAGCTAACTAAGATTGTTGGGCAACAAAACAGATATGATCCCTTCTAGAATAAAAGTGAATAATATAAAAACAAATAAATATATTGAAAATTTTTTTTAAATAATTGATAAAAAAAAACGTTTTTTTTTTTTTTAAAGTGGATTGCATGCAGTTCCTGTCAACTTTAAACGGATGACTTTTGAGTTCCCTCTCAAAGTTGGAAAGTCGGTTCAGGTGTGGAATGACGGGGCAGGTGAGTTCCAGAGAGAAAGGCGGCAAAGCAGAAGGTTCTGTAAATTGGATTATGAGGTAGGACTGAAACCATCACAGAGGTTGTTCAGGCTGGACTTGAGACAGGATGGGAGGATGGAGTGACTGATGGAGTGAAGCTCCAGGGAGGTCCAGGAAGAGGAGGATACTGAGCTTATTGAAGTTGGAGGAAAGAAGATAAATTAGAGAAGAGCTGTTTTGTTGCTGTGTTTTTAAGAAAAGTGACTCAATAGTCCAAATGTATTACAAGATATCTTTTATTCTATTTGTAAATTTTTTCACTTTTTATTAACGATCACTCAATATTTCTTCTGTTATTTATTTATCCCCAATTAAATTAGAGGTGAATATTTAACCTGTCTAGCTGCTGAATCTATTTAGCAATCCAGATGGAGATGATAGTTTATCTTAAATCCAGATTCACAAAAAGTCCTCCTAACTGAAAATTAATTCACTTTAGGAGCTCTCTGAAGACCTGAAATGCTTAAAGAACAACTTATTGAGGTAAAATTATAATCATTAATCATAATCATTCATCATTAATCATTATAATCATTAATCATAAAATCTTTAAATCTCAGGAATTCTACATATTTTCTTATTTTTAAGTGAGGATCCACCTTTGTAAGTACGTGCTCTGAGGTGTTTCAGTTATTTTCTATCTGCTGAACCTCCTGTAGCAACTGAAGGTCAGGTTAATATAAAGTGAATATTGACTGAAGGTACTTTACCCTCTTGTAACATGTAAACATTACCTACTGTAAGGATTGTTTCCTAAGTTTTAAGTTGGAAAACAAACATATCTGGAAAAATATTACTCAACAGTATTTTACTTTTAATTTTATTTATTTGTTTGCATAGAACATTTGTTTACTAAATCAGGTTTAAATCAGTAACTAAGCACTTGAGTGAAAATATGTTGAAGTAATGCCACTCTTACCTGGGTACAATATTTGAACTGTCTCCTCACCTCTGGCTGATTGTAAAATTTGCTGTTTTTCTTAACTCTTCACACAGAATAACTTGTAGTTGAAGCACAGTGAACCCAACGTGTGATTCATACACCAACACCATCAATCAGTTCAGCTGATTCCTGCTCTCCTGTCTATGTTGTAAAACACACATCTCATACATTTCACACAATTTTTATGAGGAAAATCTGCTTTCACAAGGAAAATCTCCTGTTTTCACTGTCATTCCAAATTCTAAAAGCAATTTATCCAACTTTGCACATGAATCCTCACATGGGCAAACACCTGCCGCACGGTTTTAGTCAGCAATCAGAGCAGGACCATAAAAAAGGGCCACAGGTGGGACCTTCTGTTTTGGTTCGGTGGGGGTCAGCATTGGAATGCATGGAAGGATACAGCATTGTTTGTTTGTATTTTGCTGTTACCACATGTGCCGTAAATTTAGTAGGTTTTTACCATGTGGGAAACCATGTAAAACCGTGTGTTTTTGAAATGTAATTTTATTTTTGTGGGAAAAATTAAATATACTGTACAGTATATCCTATAAGGTAATGCTGTTTTTTTGTGTTATATAGTTGTATGCATAAAAAAATAATGCAAATGTAGCACTGAAGATAAGTCATGATTTGTGATTTCCTTTTATCAAAGGATAATTTGTGAAGAAAATCGCATTCTGAGAGAAACGTATTTAGTTTTTGAAGTAGTTTGGTTTTGCAGAATTGGGGGATACTGGAAGATTATGTGCATGATTTCTTTTATAATTGCGTATAGAGGTCTGAGAATATAAGGCATGTTTTTAGAGAACATGTGCAAACGTTTTAAAAAAAACTGCTGTGATGAATAGGGAAACCACTCTGATACTGCAGCTTCCATTAAAGCATATCTCCTTTAGGTTAAAAAATGTTTTTAATGAATCTTAGATTATCTGTCACCATGGGAACCGACAGGTGTTTGGTGTGAATGTTATATTGAGGTGTGCTTAAGCCTTGTTGTTCATCAGGTAAACTGAAAGCGTCCCAAAGCTTCATAGGATGTTTGAATCTGGCATCAAAAGTGAGGGAAAAACACAACTACAGTAATAGAAGAGCTTTAAAGGAGGATTTCTTTCTTCTTTTCACAACACACAATTTCACACTCAGAGACACAAAAGAGAAGCGAAGCAGGACTTGGAAAAAGAAAACGTCAAGTTTTATTTTGGAATGTCTCATCTCGTGTCCATTCTGTTTTCTTGATTTTTGTATTTTGCATGATTTTCTGGAAAACATTTCCACCAATGTTAAAGATAGAAAAAATCAAATCAACAGTAAAACTCTTTGCAGAAAATAAAAAGGACAAGAAAATGATTTATTTTTAGGGGGAGGGGAGGGTTGACACTAAATAATAGGAGATACTACAACCGAGAAGTGGCTGCTCATTAGATCTGATGGATGGCTCTGGACCCACGTCCCGCCTCTCTAGGAGGACCGCAGCCAATCACAGTGCAGTGTCCACAAGCTCCCATGATGGGAGACTAAGGCAGCAAAACACAGTGGGACACAGTACGCATGAAGGTAAGTGAGACGTTGCACCAGAAGAACAGATCTCCATCATTAAAAAGTTATGTTACAGCCTCAGAATCAGCTGTTGGTCTCTATGCCAACGGATCCAAACCCTCATCATTTGTCTTTGAAGAGAGCTAAGAGAGGATCGTTGACCCAAACACAGCCGTCTGGAGGCTGATGAAGAGGAGGCTCAGCAGGATGACTCAGACTTACTGTAAACAGCCCTGGAAATGGAGATCTGTTCCTCAGAGCAGCATAGTTTGCTTTAAACACATACCAGGGTGCCACATCTACAGGATTCTTCAGTTTTTACCGTGGAACCCTTTAATAAGCCTGTAGCAACGGGTTATTCTTTAAAAACTGCAGCAGGCTTGAAGACAACAGATGTTTTACTCCACTGTGGTCGAGCTGAGGTGATGATGAAGGTGAGATGATAGATCTAAGCACGGTAGGAACCGACCGTGAGCAAACGGTGGGAGCAGCGGATGTTTTTTTGAGTGCCTATAAAATCTGCTTTTAACTGCTTGGGAAGCATAAATAAATCTGCACACTCCTTAAACATCTTTATGCGTCTACATTCAATTAACATGCAGTCCATCCAACTGTTGAACAGTTTCAGATTTGATAAGAAATGGGATTCTGCAGAGGGATTCTGAACACCAAATATCTTACTAAACATGGAAGCAGGGGCTTGAAAAAAATAGTTCCTAAAACTAAACATTTTTACATAAGTTTTGGAATCATGTGCAGCCGCCATGTTTGCCATAGATCGTCACATTCACGATTTCAGGAAAAAAAACTTTTCTCAATCTGAAGACACCTGTTTTATTTGATGCAACCTAGAATGTGGCAGCGGTGCTTTTAAAATATTTTTTGTGCAGTTTGCATCAAGATAACTACCTGAAGCTCCAGCTTGCTTCCCCCTAACTTCCAGTTTTTTTTTGTGCAAAAACAAGCTCAGCGGTTTTAACTCCTAAAGATGAGAAAATAATCCTGCTAATCTGAGTTCTTCCTGCAAAGGATTAAAAACTCTTCATTAAGCAGTTGGTTCTTTGTTTAAGGAGCATCAAGGATGCTTTCTTCTCATGCACGCCACAGAAACCAATGTTTAGAAAGATGAAAGAACTTTTCTAATATTTGGGATTGTGAAGAAGTTTCACTTCGTATTTAATAAATCAGAAAAGCTGTTTGCTTCTGTTCGACATTTCCAGTTTGAGATAATGACAAGTTCCTTTTACAAACACTTTAAAAGTGAGGATATAATTACCCGCCAGACAACACAAAGCAAACATTTTCTCTAAGATGTCACGAGTTTACATTAATTGGTAAAAATCTATTTAGTGGTCATCTGTGCTCTCTCCATTCCTCCTCTTCCTCCTCCATCCCTTCCTGAGAGGTAGCAGCCCCGTCCCAACACTCCCCACCCCCTTTAAGACCACCCAGTCCAACCGCGCCTAGTTCCCCCCCCCACCCCAACCCAGGCGTTTCCATTGGACCATGGGCGTGGCACTCTACTCGGCCTGAGCGTCATAGTTGGCTCCGCCGGCCTTCTTCAGCTCTGTGCAGAGGTAATCTTCGTCCAGTTCCCGGCGGTCACTGATCATGAACTCCTTGGCGAAGTTCTGCAGAGAAAGGAAGTCTGATTTAGATCAAGAAAAACTGAAAAGGGAAATTCCAAAGACCAAGGGGTATCTAGCGTTAGCTGAGTCTACGTGGATGTCTCTGACCTGCACAACGTCTTTGACGAGTGTCTTGTCGGTGCTAATCTTGGCGCGCTGCAACCCGCTGACGTTTTCTCCAATCCAGGTGATGAGGATGAACTTGGCCCGCTTGCTCATGGCGTCTCCAGTCGTAAATCGGACGAAACCAAACAGACGTCCATCATCTGAGAAAAACACGAGGAGTGAATTTACCTTCTTTGTGCTGATTGGTTAAAACAGAATCAATAAAAGAAAATGGCTGCTGTTTTTAGTGAAGCCATATTGGTCCTTAAGTGATTTAACTTTATCAACAATTTGAACAAATATAACTGAACAGAGTAGGTCTGTTTGGGTTATTAGGCTTTCAGAGTAAATCTTCTGAGAGTTTAAAGTAGTGAAATATTAATGGGAAACATTTTTATTACCATTATTCTAAAGATAAGAAAAGAAATAATCTGACATTTAAAAAACAAAGATATAAAGCAGCCAAGTTGGCAGACAGTTTAGATTTGATCTGATTAGCTGTATAAACATGCCCTGCACCACTCCTTATAGGAACAGGAAGACTTTATATTTACATCTCTGGCAGTTTTGGATTAATGAGTATCAAAAAAAAAAATCATTAATTTTTAATAAATAACATTAAATGTTCTGACTGTACTGTGTTTTAATAAAAAAAAAACAGTAACTGAACTTGTAAAATTATTTTACAAACGCTTCCTATCGTTAAATTTGTGTAGTTTATGACAGTAAAATTCAAAACATGACCTCAATTGACTTTACAGTCAGTTCAATCAAATCACTTCAGGTTAGGTTGGTTTAAGGTTTTCTATCTAAGGAAATCCAGCAGATTTGACTGAGTTGCTGGCTAGCAGACTTTTTTTTTTTAAACTTTAAATCTGCATACATGTCATTTGAATTTCCAAACAAAAGAAGCAACTTCAGTGTTAATAATAAAGCAGGTGCGTCTCAGGGAGGCACAATGTGTACCAACTTTAATATTCCAAAGGATCATTTGGATGGCAGTGATTATGAAGCATTGGAAGCAGCTGTGCTCTCAGCGTTAGAAACGCTCTTAGCAGCAGGAACCACAGATAGCGGAACCAGGACAAACAGAAACCCTCAGCCCGACCTGATGCTCCCCACCGGCCCGCATTTCCTCCCTCCGCCAAACGCGTCCTGTTTCATCTTCCCTCCAAAGTCCTGCTGACTCCACAAAGATAGGTGTCCTTCTAATCGAAGGCATCCAAACCAAAACCTTCCTTCATTTTTTTTTGTCCACATCTAAATCAGCCAGCTGCTGAGTACTATAAATAAACAATTTAAACCTCAAAGAAAACTTATCAATAGTGTATGCAGAGGTGTTTATGGAGCATCTTCATCCTCCCTGTGGAGCACATCTGAGCCATTAGGAGGATCCAGGCCTGAGAATCAGCAGAAAGCTGAAGAACCAGGGAGGAAATGACCCAGATCAGGTCACCACACCTTATTTCTGTGCCCTTAGACATTCTTTGTTAGCAACTGATATGATGAATAGTTTAAAGATATATTTATGTTTCTGTATTGAAAAAAAGGCTTTTAAAATAAAAATTACGTTGGTTCCGATTAGGAGTAATAAAACCTAAAAGAATGAAGGAACTTCCTTTAGTCAGTCGCCCTGATTACGCAACTTGCTGTTGGCACATTCTGCTACCAGGAAGTGGGCTTAAAATTCCCAAAGTGCTTATGAGAAGGAAAGAAGATTTGGTAGAAAATGCAGACATGCTCTGTCCTCTTATCACTTCCTGCTTCTGCAGAAGTCAGAGGTGGATCAATGATCTTCAGCTGTCAGTAGCAGGATCATCTCAGCTCCTCCTACGCTCAGACGCGTTTTCTGCAGGGCAAAAGCTTCACTGCTAAATAAGGAAGACGGCTTCACAGATCCGTGTGTCATCTCTGAACCGGAACTGAAGGCAACGCCGGCAGCTGGGCTGATGTTGCACGAAGCAGTGAGAAAGACTTGTTTCAGCACTGGAAAAGGGATTCACTGACAAATCAGGAAAAGTTGGAGAGCAGCCCGAGGCAGCGCATTTAGAGGAGCTGAGAAAAGCCTGCAGCAGAAGCAGGCAGAATCAGAGCAGATGTTTCACTCCGACAAGTAGGAAGGCTCTGATAACAGCACAGAGAAGGCAACTCAGACAGAAATGAATTCATGCAGAGCAGCACACATAGTTAATAGTTGACAGAGAACAGTCTAATAAGAGAGCTAGCCAGGTAACACAGGTATACCAATAAAATGACCACGCCAACTTCTGCTTACCTGTGCACAGATTCTTAAATTCCTCGTAGTCGGCCCCTGTTCCTCCAGGGAGAATCGTGGAGCCCTCATATTTGAATGCAGCCCTGCAGAATGAGGAGCGTGTTATTGTTGCACATTACATCAATACTTTAAGCTATAACTGAGTTTAATTCCTGAACAACAAGAGTTAGAAAAACATCTGAGAGATGCATCAGTAGAGATGAGTTTAAGTCAATGACAGGTTGATGGGTTCTGATAGGTGGTGGCTCATTCTGCTGCATCACTAAGAACTCCAGTTATTTTCTGTCACATGTTAACCAACAGGGTGAAGTTTATTAAAACTGCATAATAGATTAGGCTTTAATAAGAATCGACTGCAGAGTATATTATGATCTCTATAAAAAGGTGGGGTCCACTTCATAGAAAACCGGAAATTGGCACCAGCCAAGAAAGGCGCGATCAGTGCATCTCTCCTCAGACTGCTGGGACCACCACCTCCCCCTCAGCAGCAGACACAGATCAGCCATGTTTCTGTGACATCACAATAGCATCCAGCTCTATGAATACAGGACAAAGTAAATTACTTCTGCCCCACTGGGCCTCAGAATCAGCCAAAATGTAGAGCTGCAAAATGTCTGAGGCAGGAGGAGAAGGAGAGCTGCAGGTTCTTAACGTTCCTCCTTTTAAGTTATTTAAAAAAAATTAAATTTAAGTGCGACACAGAACATGCCTGACTCCTTATAATCTTTATTTGCTCCTTCAGCCTCTGCAACCAAGCTGCTCGTGTTTAAACCGCAGCATTAATCTCTCCCAATTAAAATTGAAATGTCATCCTCTGATTAATCTAATTAAAAAACATAATTAAGAGCATTTTCAGCAGCCGAAGAGCGTAACAGTTGACGATTAATCCGATTCCGTCGCACTTTATATCTGGGACCCGTGTCTGTTTCTTTTTTAGTGAGAAAATAAATAAAATGATGCGATTTTTGAATGGACTTACCAGCTGGTTTCCGTGTTATCATCTCTAACATCGTTATACGCTTCTCTGCAAGCCTCCTTATCGATCTGAGTTGCCATCGTTGATGAAGATAGTAGTCGGTGGGGAAATAAGCCTTAAATCGGAGCGAACCGTGTTTGGGTCAAACGGCAGAAACAAGTGTTTAATTGAAGCGGTGGATGCTGCGCATCGGAGAGGCTGTGCGCCGAGAGGAGGACGGGAGTCTGCGGGAGCTGGTGCGGGGCCTGGCTGAGTTAACGGACCGACGCGGCTCCTCTGATAGAAACTGGGCTCATTTCCTGGATGGTTCCGCTTTATGGGCGGTGTTGATGTTAGTCAATCAGGCTGCGGCACACTCGGTTCCAGACAGGAGACACTGTGAGCTTTCCTCCTCCTTCTGGCCGCTGGCAGATCGCAGTAAATTACAATAAACACACAGAAGTGGCTTCCGGAAAAGACCCTTCAAAATAAGGTACACATTTGTATAGCTGTGACGCAGACATAGGCTAATATACCAATAATATTTGACCTATTATTATTGTATTGAAAATGTCTGTATTTAATTACTTTGACCTTGAAAATGTGCATGTTACTGCCAAGGCAAAAAATAAAAAATAAAAAAAAATACTATTATTACATCTTTGATTTTGTGGTTTTTCTTAGATGGTTTTCCTTTAAACTGAAAACGTCCTTAAATTATTTTCTATTATAACCTCCCAAAGAAGATCCATTACTGGTTTACAGGGGGTTAACTAGTGTTTTTTCTATGGAATGTGCCCTATAGCTTCCTAGTTGTTCCTAGGTTCAAAATGAAGAGGCTTTATTTCATTGGGAAATTTAGGAAACAATCCATCTTGGTTTCTACAATGTTACATTACAAAACCTTACTCAATGTTTTCTAGTATCTTTTTAAAGGTTTAATTCCTTTATACTGAACCTGCACGCCAGGAAATGTGATCTTAATGTTCTTATGAGGTCACAGGAAAAGTTTAAGTCATAATATCTAAGGTTGACCTCTAGGGAACTAGAACAGATTATTTCCTGAAGAGTTTGCTAAGGTCATAACATCTTTCACCTCCATGTTCAGGTAACATTCTCTGATACTTACATACTGTCCACCAGTCAGGAGCCTTTAGAGAAAGCTTTTTGAATGTTTTTTTTTTTTTTTTTTTTTTTTTTTTTTTTTTTTTTTTTTTTTTTTTTTTTTTTTTTGATTTGGTAGGTCCAATTCTGACTTAGGAAAAAACAGACTTTGTTTAGAATAATATAAATTATGGGTTCTATGCAAAACTCCAATGCTTCCTGTACTTCAGCTCTTTTGTTACCTGTCTTTCATCACTGGATGGACTGATTAATCCAGATGTGCGTCAACATGGTTACTGAGACAATGCACACCTGGATTAATCAGTTCATCCAGTATAAAAAGACAGGAAACAAAAGAGCTGCCTTAGTATAGGTTCAGGAAGTAGTGGGGATGTGCGTAGAGCCCATTGGATTTTCAATTGTGTAATAAGCCATTTAACCATTGTGCAATTTAAATAATGACATTGTAGTATAATTAATATTTGAATGATGTNCTACTACTACTAATACTGCTACTACTATTGTTGATTGAACTTTCAAATAAAAGACAAAAAAGGAAAGAATTAACTTTGGTGTGATGAGTGAAATCCTGTGAGATCTCTGGAAGCAAGCTGCCTTTTCAAGTGGGGGAAACCTGCAGTTGAAATACCAAAAAAAAAAAAAAGTGTGAACCACTTGACAAGCAGTAACAGAGCCTGAAACTCAAGGGCAGTTAAAAACAAGTCAAAAGCCACCATGTACGTTCTGTCAGAACAGTAAACATCAACTTCATCACTGTCCTGAGTTTAAAGGAAAGCATCTGGAGGAACGACGGAAGTATGTGAAAGACAAGAAACTTTGCTATGGCTGCTTGAGGACAGGCCATAATGCAACAGACCTTCATGTGGGAACTGTAAAGGAAGACATCCTACACTTCTTCATGACGATAACTACACCAAAGCTAAACCCGCATCAGTCCCAAATATAAGCACCACAGAGGAAACAGCATCTACATTGTCTCTTAGTGTGACAACCAAGGAGCCATCCACTAACACTCCGATGGTCGTACCTGTGTGGGTTTCTTCTATCAGTAATCCAGGTATGGAAAAACTTGTTTATGCTCTGCTTGATAGTCAAAGTGACACAGTTTTTATTGATGAAGAAGTTAGCTACAGTTTGCAAGTCAAGACACATCCTGTAAGGTTGAAGCTAACAACAATGACAGGAAAGGACACAATAATGCATAGTCAAAAGTGTCAGATTTGAGAGTGAGAGGTTACAGCTCTGCCACCTACATCAATCTCCTCCCTGTTTACACCAAGGACTCTATACCAGAGAATCGAACGCACATTCCTACCTGTGACACGGCACGGCACTGGAATCATCTAATCAAAATTGCAGATGAAATCCCATCACAGCTGGAATGTAAAGTCGGTTTGCTGATAGGCTACAATTGCTCAAGAGCGCTGGCACCAAGGCAGGTAATCCTGGGAGGAGACAATGAACCATATGCTGTTCGTACGGATCTTGGTTGGAGTATTGTAGGCTGTTCATTACCTCATCATGACTCACCAAGCAGCACAAACATGTGTCACAGGGTTTCTGTCAGAGAGCTTCCTCCTGTAACTCCAGCAGAGGCCCTCAGAGTCCTTGAATCTGATTTTAAGGATGCTAACAAGGATGAAAAGACTGTTTCCCAAGATGACATCCACTTCCTAGATGTGTTAAAGGAAGGAATCAGGAGAAACAGTAATGGACATTATGAGATGCCTCTCCCCTTTAAAGAGAGACCCCATCTCCCTAACAATAAGCAACAAGCTCTGGTACGGCTAAATCAACTCAAAAGAAAGCTAATGAAAGATGACAAGTACAGAGAGCAATATATAAACTTTATGGATGAAATTATCCAAAAGGGTGAAGCAGAGG